CTGCCTGAATATTGAGCCTCTACAAGAACAGAAAAAAGAGTTTGCTCCTAACTGCTCTTTGTTTTGCTCCTTCTCTTGCAGCATCTCTTCCCAGTACTCCTCCGCTATGTCCTCGCACTCCGGCAGGGACGGTAAGAACCTACCTTGGCACACACGTGTATGGCAAGTGGCTCTGAGCCCTGCTTGGGGAGCTGCTGCCAGACTGACGGAGTGGGGATCACTCCTCAGGGTGCTGAGCTGAACCAGTGACAGCATGTGGGGAGCTGGTGTGCGTCTCACACTGCTGCCCCCAGGAAAAAGCCACCAGGAAGGCAATACCATGCACACCTTGACCACAGGAATGATTTGCTCTGAACAGGCCTTGTGACTGAGCAGCCAGTGCTCTGGCCTTACACAGACCTGTGAAATCAGGAGACATCACTCATCTACAGAGCTTGTTGCCTTTTATGCCTTTTGCCTTCTTGAGCTTTTCCATTAGTCTGGCTGTCCCTCCTCCTACCCAATGCAGGACTGTTTAAAGCCCCATTTTCCAGTACCACAAGGAATTTCTGACCTCTTCCTGAAGAACACACAACATCTGATAACGTGTTAAGAAATTTCCCTCCTTCCTGCCCCCTGAATAACTGTGCCCCTCCTTCCTTCCGCAGCCGTGACGACCTCGCGGCAGGTGCGCACCATCGTGGAGGAGGTGCAGGATGGGAAGGTGGTGTCCTCCCGCGAGCAGGTCGCACTCACCACGCGCTGAGAGGGCCCCGGCCCCCGGCCCCCACCCCGGCGAGCTGGCCCAGCACTGCCTGAGCCCGCGCGTGAGGGGCTGTGTCACAGCATGCGGCTCGCTCCCTCCCCTGCTCCTCCTTCCTCTATTACCCGAATTTCAGGCGGGTGCCCCCGTGCACTCTGTACACATTTAATAAAGCTTTTCCCTCGCTCATGCAACTGCAGACTTGTCTGTCACTGATAGCTGATCCCCCAAAGCCTCAGGGTTGTGAGCTGGTGCCAGGGAAAGTCCTAAGAAACCACAAGAGAAGTCAGTGGGAGGAGGGGGGTGGGAGGATATGGGTTCCACCTGGAGCAGAAGTCATTTGAGGCAGTTTTATCTGCTGAACTCACTGCTTGTAAATGTGTGGGACTGACTGAGACACAAACCAGAGAAGTTTGATACAAAATGAAGACAATGGTGGAGGGGTGATGTGTGAGGTCAGTGTGCCACACAACTGTTAATTAAAGCAAATAAAGCTCAGTTCCCTAACTCTTGTTAACATAAAGAATCACTTTCTCCTGTAAATTGAACTTAAATGACTTCAGCAAGCCCACTACTGTCACAGGGAGCATTCCAAGGGACAAGCACAGCCCAGGCTGGCTGGCAGACCTCACACACACGAGCCTTCTGTCTTACCTGACTGTTTTTAAATCACACTGCTGGGCACATTGTACAAAAAGTTTATACAGAGCAGTTCATGCTGCCCGCGGGCTGCACTTAACAGCTTCTAAAGTAACCATTGCTTAATCCGCTGAGGGAAGAGCCCCAGGAACTTTATCACTATGGCATCTAGTGTATCTAGTGTATACTTTGCAGCAAATCAGCTTCTCTTTGCTTATACAAGGGACTCCTGCAGCTGAAGTTAAGCTCGTTTGCCTATTGGGTTATTACTGGCCATTCACCCTCCCCCAGCTCCACAAAGGAGTTCTGGTCCTCACGGAACAGCTCTGAAGCTGTGCTCCCTGCCCTGGACAGGCCCTGGGAAGGAGCTGATGATGTCATGCTGGGCATGACAACACAAGGCAAGGACAGGGAAGGTGATCGAAGAAGTGGGGAACCTGCCAGGGCTTTCCAGAGAAGGGAGTATGAAGAGATGTTATCATTCAGTATTGTTCAGCAGTTACAGAGAAGGGCAGGAAAGGAAGCACAGAGTGTCCCGCACTCTCCTCTGTGCTGGGCTGACAGATCTGCCTCCAGCTGCCTCCAGCCCCCAGCCGAGCTGGCACTGGCAGCCTGGGCTCCAGCAGGGATGTCTCTTGAGTCACCAAGTCTCTTGAGAAGTTCTCTTGGACTTGAAAACAGCAGGTGACTCAGGGAATGTCTGTAATGATGTGAAGTGCTGGATCTCCTTCTTGGGGGCACATCACACTTTCTGTACTTCATACGCATTAGCTTTAAAACCAGTCTCAAGCCTTGAAATGTCCCCAAGACTAACAAGGGACCTCCCTCTGGGGAAGTCTGATCTTTCTGTCTCATCTCCATTGCCCTTCTGAATCTGATAATTTAGTGCAGCAGAACAACCCTTAGGAATAACACCATGGTGCCCACCCCCTGCCCCCAACCTGCTCTGCCCTACAAAGCACAGCACAGGATGCAAACATAAACCACAGACTCACGGAATGGTTGGGCTTGGAAGGGACCTCATCATCCTGTCCTGTAATTTCTTTCTCTGTATTTTTTACAAAGCTCATTAAATGGGAGCGGCACCTTGGCCTAGGGGAGGCTTTTCTGCTCATTTGTTAATTGAAGTCATAATTTTCCCTTGCCAGGCCTGCACGGCTGTTTCTGAAGCGCCTGCCAGGAAATCCTCACACACCGTCGCTGATCTCCCCCTCACTCCCACGGGGCACGACGTTGCCTGGAAGGGGCTCCCAAGTCAGCCGAGGACGACTGGCCAGAGGCATCGCCCGTGGGAGGCTGCGAGGCTGCGCCGAGCAAATTTCCCTCGGCAGACTCCAGTCTGGAAGTCAACAAAAGTTAATTCTGGAAGGAGCCTCCCATTATGCATGTAGATAGTGTCATTAACAGATCTCCTCATAAAAAATTAAAATCTCTTTTAATAAAATGAGGATTGTAATTGCTGGCAGGTCCTGAGGTATGCTCTGATGTAAAAGCAAGAGCTGCTTTTAATAAAATTTCCAAATTCTGGAAAGGAAAAAAGCTACCATGAAGGACACAGAAATCCAGCAAAATCAAGAGTGAAACTATCATTCTCCTCTATAAAAGCTGTAAAAATTCTAATTGCCTTTGGCTGCAGAGACCTGTGGTATGGTTTGAGGTTCAAAAAGTGAGGAAGGAATGTGGGCACCTCTGCTCAGTCCTCAGTAATTGAAAAAAGACCCAAACTACTCATTAACGTTTTCATTTTTCTCCTTGACAAATGGAATATGTATTTCTCAATTAAATGGAATCCGATGTTTGTTCAGCGTTGGTTTTACAGTTCCTCTGTGGAAGCAGGGCAGATTCTGAGCAGTCCTGCCCTCGATTCCCTCCTGGCCGTGCCGCAGCGTCGGCAGAGCTTGGCACCGCCGGGGCGTGCGCTGGCACCAGGGCTCAGGCTCCGCGGGTAATTACGGCTCTGGCAGAGGAGGGGCACGCATGGAACCCACACCACATTTAAGGTGTTCTGGATTTGCAGTGTCAAGATAAAATCAAGGCTAATGGACTCACCCAAACGGCAGAAGCAATATTTCTGAAAGAGGCTGCACCTGACGCATCCTTTATGTGATGTGTCCAGGTGACCTGGATGCCAAAGCCAGCGCTGAACAACAGGGGTGAAAGGCAGCCCAGACTCGCATGGCTGGATTAATGTTATTAATAAAGTGAAAGATGCAGCTGACAAAACTTTTTAATTATTTCCCTTCTTCCTCTGTTCAGCATACCAACACTAAAAAATAGGTTTAATATCTTTTTATAAACGACCTTTTCTAAATTTAACACATTTTCCCTCGATTATATTTGGAGAATTTTCATGGCTCTGGCTGGAACTGGGTCACACCTACAGAGGATCAGGCTGCTTCTGAAGTTCTCCATGTTACTGCTTTAGAAACCTAATGGAACACCTCATGTGGCTGTCTGAATGGTCACTGCTAACAGCAACATCTGGTGCTCAGGAAATAGCCTCCTCACTTTTACTTTGGATAAATATTTGAATATTTTGTCTACCCTTGAAGGCAGCAAAACAAACACTGGGAGATCTCCCCTCTGCAAGAGGATGTTTTGGTGCAGGAAAGAGAGAAGTAACAAATCATCATTGCAAGGCTCCAGTGAAACATCCTTCTGTGCTCTCCAAGAGAAGAGCATTTTGGGGGCAAGGAGCAGACCCCGGCAGGTTCTCACCAACTGATGGTCACACAGAACAGGACGGACTCTGGCTGCAGAGGGCAGCAGGGGCCAGGGTGGTCTCCTGGCCCTGGCCTGGGGCCTGCATGCAGCTGAGGGAGGGGCACCCCCACTCCTGGCCCCAGAGGGGTCGGACAGGCTCTGTCAGACAGGACGCCTTTCCCACAGCTTTCCCTTGCCGGGCAGACTCGCCCACGCCAGGGACGGGTAATTGCTATGGGGACGTTTCCTTCCCCGGGCGCTCTCGGGCATCGTTGCTTTTTGTGCCACTGTTGTTTAGTTGTCATCACAAGTCAGACCTGATGATTCAGGAAGTAACATTTTTGATGTAGTTTTGAAACACGCTTCTGTTAACCAAAGCATCTTTCTGTTGTGGGATTTCTGGAGACAAACGCCTTTGGGGAAATATTTCCGGCTGAAAAAACAATTAGCTCCAGCCAGGTCACAAGGAGGAAGAATAAACAGCCCTTCTCCAGTGGCAACATCCGCGAGGAATGGTATAAATAGAGGGCTATGGGGACAGAGGGATCACAGCGGGATCCCGCAGCGATCTGTGCAGCTTGCCCTGGGCTCCGAGGTGGATCCTCTCACCATGAGCTGTGCCGTCAGGCAGGTGGTGACTACCTGCTCCCAAGGCTCTGCGGCTGGCAGCGGGAGGAAGGTCTCCTCTGCCTCCTCGGGAAGACACGCTGCCTATGACCTCGGTGCTGTCGTTGGCAATTTTTCTGGTGGCAGTTTAAGCGAGGGATTACTTGGGAAGCAGCTGAGTGCTGGCAGTGCCACTGGTGGAAGCTTTGGAGCTACCCAGAGGGCTTGTTCTACCCTCGGATTCGGCGGTGGAGGCATCTGCACTCGAGGGGTTGGTGGTAGCTTCCCCAGGGCCAGCGCTGGCTGCAGCGATGGGATCTTATTTGCTAACAATGAGAAGGCAACGATGCAGAACCTCAACGACCGCCTGGCCTCCTACCTGGACAAGGTGCGGCTCCTGGAGGGAGACAACGCCGACCTGGAGTGCAAGATCAGGGAGTGGTATGCCAAGGTGGGGCCCAGCTGCGAGCCCCGGGACTACAGCTGCTTCCACAAGGAGATCGAAGACCTTCAAAACCAGGTAAGTCATTCTTCTCTGGGCAATGCTAATATGTCTTTGGGCTTTGCTTTCACATCTGGATAGACCCATGCTGAAGGGCAGAGGTGACAGAGCTGTCTCTGGAGGTGCAGAGGATGCAGTACCTTCCATGGAAGGGAGGGTTTGCAGGAGGAGGACGCTGGAGTCTCAGCAGAACCTGCCCCACCACGCCAACACGCCGGTTGCCCCACTGTAATCCCACCTAACTGATGAACAGCCCCAATATTTAGAACTGCTATAAACAAGGGGGTTTTGTTACCCCAGGGAGGTGTTTTCCTCCAGGGCCTTCGGTAGCCAAAGGACACTGCAAGGCCCATCTCTGTCCTGTATTTTCTTCTCCAGATCCTGTGTGCAGCCATGGAGACTAACAAAATCCTTCTGAACATTGATAACAACAGGATGACTGCTGATGACTTCAGAGTGAAGTGAGTACAGCCCTGTGCTAGACTGAGGGGCTCAGGCTGCCCACGGGAGGGTGGGGTACTGGGATCTCTGTGACAGGCGTGGATCCCACTGCCCACGTCCACAGGACTGCACGTCTGAAGAAAAACAAGAACTTAATCCTATATTTTCCCTCACGAACTCGCACAAGGGCTCGCCGTGGTTGCTGACACACTGACCTTTCTTTGTCACCTGTGGTTTAAGGTACGAGACCGAATGTGGCCTCCGGCAAAACGTGGACGCAGACATCTGCAACCTGCGCCCCGTCCTGGACCAGCTGGCCAGCTGCAAGACTGACCTGCAGCTGCAGTGCGAGGCCCTGACTGAGGAGATGTGCTGCCTCAAGACCAACCACGAGGAGGTCAGATGGGCCCGTACTCCCAGACAGTTCAGAGGAAAGAAGGCGGCAAGTCCCCCCAGTGTCGATAAGACTGATGCGGTGCCTGTGTTCTCTGCAGGAAATGAGCTGTCTGAGGAAACAGGCGACTGGAGATGTGAGTGTGGAGGTCAATGCCTGCCCTGGCCCGGACCTGAGGAAGATCCTGGAGGATCTGAGGTGCCAGTATGAGACGCTGATGGAGCGCAACCGCAAAGAGACTGAGCAGTGGTATGCCTGCAAGGTACTACAGACATGCAGAGCTGTACCCGGCTCTGCCTGCTGGGGGGAAAGGGAGAAACGAGAGATTAAGGACACTGGAGATGTCTTAATATCAGCAGTTGTGTCACAGATGTGCTCAGCACCTCATTGTACTGCCCAATTTCAGCGTTCTGTTCCCAGCAGAGAGGCCACTGCATAGTTACTCACAGCAGAGTAACTGGGGGCTGCAGCTCTGGCGATGTGCCGGTGCACTGCAGGGTGAGGCCCCTGCTGCCCCGCGCTGCCATGGGGAGGTGGGCAAAGGGCCGCTCTTCTCTGCCTTTGCAGGTGGAGGAGGTGAATCTGGAGGTCATCACAAGCAGCCAGGAGATCGAGTCAAGCAACAAACAGGTCACTGAGCTGAGACGTCAGCTGCAGGCCTTGGAAATCAACGTGCAGGCCCAGCTCACCATGGTAGGTGATGCCACTGCAGGTGCTGTCTCTGGTCTCTTTAGAAAGCTGCCTGACCAGAGTTGTACCTGTAACCAGGCGGGCCAAGCTCCCACCCTACCCAGGAATCTTTGTGTTGTTTCTCTTCTCAGAAAGAAAACCTGGAATCCTCCTTGGCAGAAACCGAATGTCGCTACAACAAATACCTGGCGGAGCTGCAGGCCCAGATCTCCTGCGTGGAGCAGCGCCTGGCCGAGATACGGGCGGAAATGGAGTGTCAGAACCAGGAGTACAAGACCCTCCTGGACGTCAAGTGCCGCTTGGAGCAGGAGATCCAGACCTACCACTGCCTGCTGGAGGGGGGACAGCACGACATCATGTACGCAGAGACGGGCACACAGCCCCTCTGAGCTCTGCCTTACAGGGAGAGCAAAACGCTCGGTACCGGGGGGAAAAGCAACACTGTGGTGAGGAA